CGTTTCGGGACAACTAACCTGTAGGGCTGAACTGGAAGGGTTACCTGATGTTTCTTTGCCACTGACTGGGTTAAAAACTGCCCGTGTGGAGGTATCATCATTCCACCACTGTGTTCAAGCTTCAGAGCCTACTGGTGATAAGCAATCTCTGCTATTTCAACCACCACTAGGAAATTTCGTTTTGATGCACTATCAAGCTCCATGCAACATCGATCCACCTGTTAAAGGGTTCTACCAGTTGTCTATGGTATCTGAGAATGAAGGTGCTTTTCTATTTAAGCTGAGATTGATGGAGGGTTACAAGTCCCCGTTTCTTATGGAATTTTGCATGGTCACAATGCCATTTCCTCGAAGAAGAGTTGCATCATATGATGGAAATCCATCAGTTGGGACGGTTTCAATGACAGAACATTTAATTGAGTGGAGAATTGTTTCAAGTGGCCGGGGCCTCAGTGGTAGGAGCATTGAAGCTACCTTCTCTGGTACTGTTAGATTTCATCCTAGAACAACGCAGCGAGTAAATTCATCATTTCGGTCGGCCACAACCACTGCATTTGCTGAAGATAGTGATTGTGAGCAAGATAGCACTAAGAATGGTGCCAACTTGGATGACTACCTCATGGAAAAAATGAACAAAGACCTTCAAGCAGTTGACTTGGAAGAGCCATTGTCTTGGCAGGCTTATAATTATGCTAAGGTTTGCCTCTACCGAAACATAATGTTGTTGGAATTTGTTAAGACCTTCAAGCAGTGTTTGTCTCATGATGTTATTTTGAATATGAGATCATTGGGAAGAATCATATTTGGTCACTGTATTTCTGACATGCCTGACCTCTTCTTCATATTACTTTCTCAGCATATAGTAGCTCTCAGTTGTTCTGTTCTGTTGGTTGATATAGGATCATGCAGCTGTTCATTTTGCATGACATTCTGTTATTCATTCAATATTTGTACCTGGGTTCAGAGAGTATAATCTGGAACAACCACTGTATCATATTTGTTCTTCCTTCTGCACACCCGTGAAGTCTTCTGATATCCATACAGCAGCACACATGCACTTTACTTCTCATTTGAACTTGTTTTTTCAATATTATAATGGATTATGAAATATTCCCCAGGTGTCTTTTAAGATAGTTGGTGGCACCCTGTCTGGTCTTATAATCGACCCAAGATCTGTAAGTTACCCACAAACTTTCTTGATCACCATCTTCACCCACTCAGTCAAGTAGCTTAGTGTTGTTATCCTATGTTGATGCCCTCATGCCAGCTCAAATTTTTTAGCCATTGTTCTTCAGAAATTTTAACTCGATATCCACACATATTTTGTCCGTGTTCTTATGTTGTAGTGCTTGATAGGTGGTACATATTACAGTTTCCTTACTACCATGCTGAAGAGATTGCTCAAGAATCGCACCCTTACATGTCCTGACCTCCATTATGAAATAGTTATTTTCTCCTTGTTGTAGCATTTCTTCCCATGCTTTATTCAAATATAATTGAGTCACAATTAAACACCACATTTCCTGTACGATATTCTGCAGGTAACCATTTATCCTTCTGTCAAAGCCCCAGTAGAATATTCAATGCAGGTGACTTATCTCCTCCCCTCCGACTTTGGCTCTTTAAATAGTCAATGCACTGAAAAACCTGTTTTTTCTCAACATTTCAATAATTGCTCAAAGAGAATTGTACATTTTTTTCTTCACGAATATGCAAAGCTTGCGTATCTTTCATTGCTAGGAGTTAGAATGAGTGCAGATAGGGGTACATCACATAGCTTGAACACAAGGATGCGTGAACATGGCACCCGGAGCAGACGGACAGGGGATGCTCGGGCCGAACAGAGGAAACTACACAGCTAAACCCACTAAGCCCCTAACAAGAGAGGCATACCGAATCGGCAAGCCGTCCAACATCACCAAAGCCAACATCTGGGACACCGTGAGCGACAAGATAGCGCCTCCAAGAAGGAAAACGCCACCACGCCGCCGCCGCCATCCGGTCCGGAGAAGGGGCGGAGATGAAGGCCATGTTAGCGCCTCCAAGAAGGAAAACGACACCCGCGAGCGTCGCCCCTGCCAGCAGCACTGGCAAGCCGAGCAGAGATTTCTCCCTAGCCTGATACCGAGCAATCTCATAGCCGCCGGATCCCGAATCTGAGATGAGGAAGCCATTGTTGGCCGGAGCCACCATGTCTGTCGGGGGGTTGGCGCCGGAAGGTAGCACCTGGCGCCATCGGACACACGACATATGATTTGGCACCAGGCGAGGCGTGGAGGTGTACAGGGTCGGGGGTGCGGTGAGGCAGAGAGAACTGACCCAGGGGAAGCGACGGCGACAAGCTAGGACTGGAGAGAGCGCAGCTCTGAGTTGCCAGGGCCGTAGCCATCAGGACGTCGACGAGCCGAGAGAGCTAGAAGGGACGCAGCTACTGGATCCCCTACAGAGGACACTGGCAAGCTACGCACACCGGAGAACGCAGGTCCAGATGCCTCGGGGGCCGGAGTAGCGCTAGCAATGTCACACGTACACCACGTCACCAGGCCGACGCGTTGTCAAAGGTAGCCGATGCCAGGGAATTGACCACCGTAGCCTCAACAACCGCCACGTTGGAGCTGCCATCGCAACGCGAGGGAGGTGGGCGTCGCCGGAGACGAGGGCCGTCTTCACGAGGCAGGCCCTCGACCGGCCGCAGCTTCCGCGTCCACAACCGGCCAGCAGCAAGGCTGGGCTGTGTCCACGGGGAGGGAGGGTGGGCTGCAGAGGTGAACTTCCAGGCCGTGACGCCGGCTGGATCGGCAAGGGGTGGGACAGCCGGAAGGGGGCACCGTGCTCATGAGATTGGATCTCGGGGAGGAGGGGGGCTACCCGCCGCCACCATCCCAGGGACCGGCAGCGACGACGCGGGGGTTGAGCAGAGGGAGGGTTCCCGGCGGCTAGGGTTACCCTCGTGTCGCCAGCGGGGGTGGGAGGCGAGAACCTCAGAATTGTACAAACTACAGGAAGAATCGTACAGTGCATGCATGGGTTTGTTTATGCAAAAATATTACCTTGCTTTGTTAGTGCTGAACTAAGTACAAGTATTTTGATCTGATGCGAAGCACCCTCCTAACTTCTGTTGCACACACTATTAATAAAGTCATGTTCCCTGTTCGCAAGTCGCCTGAAACAATTCAGCACGTGGAAGTGCAAGCCCTGAGCCCATGATGGGGACAACCGATCGGCCGTGGCAGTGGCTTGGTGGAGGAGGTGGTTTGGACAGGCTGCGGCGGTGAGGCACACGCGTCAGCATGTGTGGGTGGGGGTGGGGGAGGTCAGCCTGTGCAGGACTCTGGCTTCCCAGAAGAATGACTAGTTGATGCGTACTTGCCTTTTCCCTCTTCATCCTGCTTATCACCACTTCCTCCCTGGGACTGTGGGACATTATCTTTTCATCTGTAAACTCACACCTTGAGCATGAATATAATTTATGCTAGACTAACATCACAAAAGATTTGTTCCACAAATAGACATTTGATCTGTTTATCGAAACAGATAAATTGCACTTCAATTGCTGTGTTATTTCTAATCGGTTATGAGACCCCTGTGCGGAAAGGCGAAATATCACCATCAATACAAGATACTCTTTGATAACATTGCTCTCCTTTGGCAGGCCTCTTCTGGAGACTACATACTATGGAATACCTTAGGAAAATGTCCTTCCGCAGCTTTGCCAAAAGAATTATAATTGCCACTGTTCATCGCCAGGCACGGCCCTCAACGGGTTTTTGGTCCCACCAGAGCTGTGCTGGAAGTTCTCTTTTAGTTCTTATATAATTGAGGAAAATAGTGTTTCAAGTGGGAAACAGATCTGTACATCATTTTTGTCAGACAAGTTTGTATGCTGAGCTTAGATTTCATGGCTCTATGCGATCCCGAATCCTTGGTCTTCTCTTCTTAGCAATAATTTTTCTACACCCCCTGGATTCTTTCCATTGTATCCAAATTTGATGCTCGTTGTAATGTTATTTCTATAATCACCGCTCAAATGTGCGTTGCGAAGCTGGAGACGTGCCAAACATGACACCTGGATTTTTTTCTTTCTCCCGTCAAAATATGTTACCACTGGAAAGTTTTTCTTCCATCTTACTGGTAGTATGTATAATGGGGTGCAGCATCTTTTTTTTAGGTTCAGTGAATCGAGACACTAATCTGTTGGTCATATCATGCATGATGCCATTGGGATGGGGCGGCCGAATATTCGGGATTGTCTTGACAAGCTAGTCTAACAAAAAAGTAACATGGTCCTAATCACGAATATTGAGTCGAGATGATCAACTTTCAACAAAAAGAAAAAACCTTTTAGGTCAATTATCCCCCTTTTCAGTTTATAATCTCTTTTAAGAAGGGTGACATGGGTGTCTTTCTAAAAGCAATTTCCTATGTCATTGTGTACCACAAATTGGAGGTGCGGAAAGTGGTATAGCTCACCACCGTTCTTTCTTTGTGAAAAAGGTAAACTTTTCTGTTTCCAGTTTCTGTACCCTACAATGCAAGATTTCCTCTATGGTTCCCAATGATATTAAGGAAGAAAACCTAATGGAACTGCATTGCGATATAATTTTGCAAGACAAAATAGTGTGGTACTACTACTAAATAACATGGCAATCTAACTAAATTTACTTGTTATTTAGCGTTTATTTTATTTTTTAGTCTGCATGGTACTGTACTAGAATGGTTTGGATTCGCTTTGGTCCATTACCACAGAATCCATCATCAGTTTTCCTGCTGGAGGACTTTCTTTAAGAAAATGTTTGAGGCTGCTGCCCAAGCAGAGAAAGTGACCGGCACACTTTAAGAGACCAAACCTGACCCTGCCGCCTTCGCCGCCCCCTCCATTTTCCTAGAAATCGCAAACCCCACCACACCGATAACCTAAGCTTCAAATTCAGAATATACCACCTCAAACTACGCAGAAATTCTGCACGCGCCCGAACGCCCAACACCCACCACTGCCGGCGATGAGCACCACCGAGGGAAAGGCGGACGCCGCTGCGGTGGAGGAGATGGCGCGGTCGGCGACCGCATGGTGCGCGATGCACGGACTCGTCGTCGGGGACCGCGCGGACCCGGTAAGGTTCTCGCCTCCTCGGTTCAAACTTCCATGGAAATCAACCTCTTCTTGGATCGGCCGGCCAAGCTCAGGACCGCAATCTTTGAATGAGCAATCTTTGAGTGAGCTTTGATGCGATGAGCAGAGCTCGGAATATCCATCGTCCATGACCAAACATTCATTGTTGCTGCTTGTCCTCTTGCAGAGATCAGGAACAGTTCCTGGGGTTGGGTTGGTCCACGCTCCAATCTCCCTGCTCCCGTCGCGTCTCCCGGAGTCTTTCTGGAGTCAGGCGTGCGAGCTGGCCCCGCTTTTCAACGAGCTCGTGGATCGTGTTAGCTTGGATGGGGATTTCTTGCAGGATTCCTTGTCCAAGTGAGTTCCGTTGCCATGTTAACCTCTTCACATTTTCATTCACAGCCTCTGCCTGCAAGTTGACCAGGATAAAAGAAGCGTACCAGTTCACAAAATCATGTCAATTATTCTTGTAGATATGCCTTAAAACTATTTTAGAGGCTGTATATTGACGAATCAGGTTGTTGATAATTTGATAAGGATTTTAATGGAGCTCTTGGGCTGATAGCCTGATACAGTCATGCTTGTACTTTCAGAACAAGGCAGGTTGATGATTTCACTTCTAGGCTCTTAGATATTCACAGGAAGATGATGGATGCAAACAAGGAGGAGGTTATTCACCTCACCTCTACTATTCAGTCAACTTCTATACCTGAACATTAATAGATCCATCTAGTCTCTTGGTCTTATTTTGGTTGATGTCCTTACTGTATGGTACTGACAAATGCTACTTTTTTCACTAGAATATCCGACTGGGGCTGCACCGATCAGATTATATGCTGGATTCAGAAACCAATTCTCTTCTCCAAATAGAGCTCAACACTATTTCAGTATCTTTTCCTGGGCTTTGTTCAATAGTGACTGAGCTTCACAGGTAAAGTAGAACATATCTTTGGTATTACATTGCTATGCTTGTGTGTATTTACACTGTACCTTTACTTGAGAAATCTGGCTAGGTAATTGTACACATGGTTTTTATGTCCAAAAAATTATTTGTACACTTCTAAACGTTTCTGCATTGCAATTGTGATGTTAAATAGTACGTCTTCTATGTTTACTTAGAGATAAGTAAGAATTCCTTCCCGCGTTCCAAATTATTTGAAGTTCTAGCTTTGTCCTAAGCCAAACTTCTCTACATTTGACTAAGTCTTACTAATGGATACTATGAAGTTTTCTACTTTGTACCTATCAGGGTATTTCTAATCAGGTTTATTATTAGGTCATCAGTATGTGTAGTAAATCAACTGATCACTAATTGCTATGCAGGACCTTGATCAATCAGTATGGAAATTTATTATGTCTAGATGCCAAAAGGGTTCCTGGAAATGATGCAAGCCGTCAATTTGCTAAAGCATTGGCCAAAGCATGGGATGAGTTTAATGTTGACAGGTTTGGTACGCTCTAGCTGAATCATGCATATTATAGCTAACCAATTGAGTATTAACTGACACACTTTTTCATGAAATGTTCAGTGCTGTAGTTATGATGATTGTGCAGCCCGAAGAAAGAAATATGTATGACCAATACTGGCTTGTCAAATATTTGAGGGAATCATATCCTTTTGTGATCTGCTTTGGCACTTCTCTTAATGATGAAAATTATATATGATTTTCTATAACTCAAGTTCTTGCTTAGCAAAAATGCCATGACTCAGTTGCTTAAAGTTTGCTTTGTTAAGATGTTCTTCCTGCCAATGCAGTTGCCATCTTGATACGGGGCAAACCGTAGGAATGGCCCGATCTTCACTATTTGGAGGTGGATCTGGGTGACAACTGTGGAAAACTTTTGAGGAAACACTCACATAGACAAGATTCACCACCAAAGTACTCACATAGACAAGATTCACCACCAAAGTACTCAAATCTCATGCCAAAACGAGACGCACATCAAGATCCAAGCAGCAACAAAAGGAAAAGATAACTAGGGTAGTTCTTCCAAATCTTTAGGAGAGATGGGTCTTGAGAGATAGTTATTCCCCAATCCAAAGGATATGGATGTCTTGATAATCCAAGAGGATTCTTCTCCCGAAAGAGCTCTTGATCTCCAAGGGAGAGGGTAGATTGAGCAAAGCTCTCTCAAGATTTAGTCTATACTTTGCTAACCCTAGATCTGAGAGAAGTACGGGTATTTATAGCCTAGGCACGAAGGGGTATGGGGAGGGGAGATACACGGACCTTACCCAAAATCTGCACAGACAGAACTACTTGACAGTTAGGTCAGAGTGGACGGGACAGTCTGGTGGTGCAATTCTTCAGAGGCTTCAGCACCGACCGGACAGTCTGGTCGATTTGGAGGGTCGAGGGCGAGGTGCGAGCGCCAACTAGACACTGTCTGGTTGGTTGGACAGGACAGTCTGCTCGACCTCTGGTCGCTCCAGAGGGTTGAGGCCGAGGCGCCAGCGCTCTCCCGACTGTTCGGTAGTGCAGATTTTGCACTGGTTTTCTTCCTTCTCTTCGTCTTTGAGTCTCCGCTCCTCGCTTGGGACTTGGCCTTCCTTCCTTGCTTCTCCAGGTTTCATGCCTTCATATCTAAGCATACATAGCATTCCGGATTAAGCTAGAAGCCATGTCTCATCCAAATACATAGGGACCTCAAGTAGGAGTGAAGTCACCTCAGTTTGATGGCACACGGGTGAGCTCTTGTCATCGGTCCACTTGGAGTTTGTGGGGTTGATGATGGGTTCACAGTGATGTCCATGGGATGCTCCGCATGCCATCTTTGGTCCACCTTCCTAGTCTATAGCTCAATCTTGTCATATGACAACTGTTTAGTACTTCTGGTTATTTGCTTGTCTCCAGGATCTTCTTCCCAGTCCAGATGCTAAAATGTTACATCAAGTCTCAACGTCAAATTTGTGTTCCCTTGACAATTTGTTACACATGGCATAACAACTATTAGGAAGACCTTGTCAGAGGTGGAGGCTGAAGGCCAGGTTCTCCTTGATGGAACTCTTGTTGTGTATGTATTCTGTGATTGGCTTATTGTTTGCGGCTTGACACTTGGCAGTTTAGCGATTGCTGCAGTCTTGCAGAATGTTCATTAAAGTATTTTTGGAAAATGCAGAAATGGCAGGAAGGTCGCTGTGGTGTATTTTAGAGCTGGCTATACACCAAACGATTATCCTTCAGAAGCAGTACGTGTATACATTGTTTCCACCCTTCAACACAGCATTTTTTGTGACAGTTCCTCTGATTGAAAACCAAATTACCATAGAAGTGTTTTCTTTGAGATAATATGGCATCATTTTAAATTTTAAAATATTTGAACACTGTTAAGCTTCATGCACTAGCCAACGCAACCAAAAGTCCGAACTGATGGAAAGGGCTAGGCAATCCACATATACACTTCAACACCCCCTCTCACGTGTGACGTGGGAAGTCAACACGTGAATAGACTCAGAGGTATGGCTCAAGAGGCCTATACGTGGACACAGAGGATAAATTGCGAAAGCCAGGACTTGAACACAAGACCTTAGGCTCTGATATACCATATTAACCTTCATGCACTAGCCATCACAACCAAAAGTCCGAACTAATAGAAAGGGCTAGCAATCCACATATACACTTCAACAAATACTTCTACATTCCCTCGTATATATTGATTTCACTAGTCGTTAATAGGGTCAACACTGAAGCAAAATTTGTGTATGTCTTGTGGATGTATAGCAATTGTTTTTGTTGTTAATCCCCATGGCATGTTTCTTGTATATATTCTAGGAATGGAGTGCAAGGCTTTTGATGGAACAATCATCTGCTGTGAAGTGTCCTTCAATATCATATCATTTAGTGGGGACCAAGAAGATTCAACAAGAACTAGCAAAACCTAACGTGCTTGAAAGGTGATTCAATTTTTGAGTACCAATGACTTGAATATTCCAATGATGTGAACTGCATATAGCACTATGGGTCTACCTAAGTTCATGACTGAACATAGGGTAGTAAGACCCGTTGTGGTATTGTCGCTGTACTTCTGCCATTAGTGATCAGATCAATTATCAGTCTTTGGTAGACATTAAAAGCCTATCTGAGCATAATTTGTTCCCTCCACAGGTTTCTTGAAAATAAGGAGGAAATTGCCAAGCTCCGTCAATGCTTTGCAGGGCTATGGAGCTTGGATGATAAAGAGGTTGTCAAATCTGCGATTGAAAACCCTGACTTGTTTGTCTTGAAGCCTCAACGTGAAGGCGGAGGTTTGTTTTATGCAGTAACATATGGATATTATTTTGCTCATTAGTTGTTTTCTTAGTAGTTTTTCTCATTATTTGTTGATATGCTATTCGTGCACAGGGAACAACATATACGGTCTTGATGTGCGAGAGGCTCTGATCAGACTCAAGAAGGAAGGAGGAGATGCTCTCTCAGCCTACATACTGATGCAAAGAATCTTTCCCAAAGCATCTCTCGCTAGTCTGGTCCGTGGTGGTTTTTGCCATGAGGCCCTCACAGTATCTGAGCTTGGGATATATGGAGCCTACCTGCGGTATAATAAGTGCTTGAAACACAGAAGTCCAAACACTAGCGCTCCTCATAAGATGGTGCTTCTTCTGACAAACAGGTCATGACTTGATATCTGATTTCAGGAACAAAGATAAGGTGATCATCAATGATAAGTGTGGTTACTTGATGCGAACAAAAGTTTCTTCTTCGGATGAAGGCGGTGTTGCTGCGGGATTTGCTGTTTTGGACAGCTTATACCTGACCGACAAGGTGATACACGGTGGTTCACATTAGTTTGTGCACATACATTTCATAACAATAAAATTATATTTTGTTTGAAATGCATTGGCTGTAGGTAATTGGTCCTGTGACCTGTCTGATATTGTTGGGGAAATCTGGAAAAAAATAGATAAAGAAAAACATTCCAGCCTCTCCATGGATTGGTGCAAACAGCCAGGAAAATCTAAATGACATTGATAATTTCGGAAGCGACTTATCAAACTCAAAGCTTCATAAATATCCTATCTATAATGTGTAGGCTTCTTTGGCACCAAACCAGTATGTTACATAGTTATTTGAAACATGTTCTTCGTATGTACTGCTGTAGGCAGTGTTACAGATTTTTGGAAAAGGTGGCAGTGTTAAAGATGCATCCCATCAGTGCTTAAACATTAAATACATGATTTTCTTCCTTGGTCGCGGATGTGCACTGAGTTCTTTCAGTTTGGCTTAGAAATGTTATTTAAAAAAAAGTTTGGCTTTTTTTTCCTACATGGGTAGTCGTTGATGGAAGGTTTGCTTCTTGCAGTGACATAACCTCAGGAATACCAGCTACAAATCCGAACCAGCATTGACCTACCATGGATTTAGCATTCTGTTGCATCGGTCGCAACAAATGAGATGAACAAAGTTGCTGCACAATTTGCAGACGTCAGCCATTAGCATACAGCACACTGGGTGAAGAATAAATGTCATGTATAGATGACATGTTTATGTATGGAAAAATAATCCCCGTGAAAAAAACGGATTACAAATTCTTGTTTCGTGGATCACTACACCCTTGACTCGGGGCCAGGCAGTTGTGTTATGCACTGTTAATGTGAATTTTCAGCGTTGCCATTTCTGTTGGTCAATCATATATGAAGAAGTTAAAAATTCTGTGAGATGCAACTTTTTTGAGTGTAAAAAATACCATATGGGCATGATCATCATGGAAGATCCTCCGCTCTGCTGTCCTGCTCTTTCCAGATGGATCATATGCTTTGGATGCTATCATGCACCAGTCAAGATGTTGTCGAAATCAAGCAGTCCAGCAGATCAATAGGCCAAATAAAGAAGGCATGCATTTCAAACTTTCTGTTATTTCCGTCTGTCATGCATCTCTCTTGGCCTCGCTAGCTAGCATTTCCTTTGTTTTCCTGATCTGTGGCTCAGTGCCAGTGGAGTCACATCTATTGTTCCATGCCATAACTAATGGCGTAAAGTTGCATACTGTCAGCACCACGATCTCTAGGGTAGATTAGTGCCATGAAATATATAGATGTTGAATTCAAGAAGAAAATTGGTTATCATAGACTAATGACGTGTTTGGTTGTCTTCTCTAATATTGCCTGCATTGCGTCTTAACTCAGCCCGGCTGAGCAAAAACAGGCGAAAAACCAACATCTGCATGTTGTTTGGTCGCCGGCATTGTATCAGTGGCCATTTTAGGGCTGGCTGTTTGGTTGCACACATTTATGCTTCAGGGGTCAGTAGATGCACACCATGGCTGTTTGGCTGAGTGCATGTTTGTGTTGTGCCAACCCCTTTCAAATGTGGTGGCCTTACCACCACATTTGTAGCACAACATCAGGCACACAACAACAAAGAAGACATCACAACACAAAATAGACAGGAAAGAACAGTAGATTAACAGTCAAACTACATTAACTATGACCATAAGTTAAAACAACAGGGGTTTGAGATGCCCTTGCTTCAAACCAGGGTGCTGATCCTGACCAAAATATTAACAGGTTCAGCACAAGTTCAAATGATCACCACAAACTAACATCAAGTTCAAACGATCACCACAAACTGACTACATCGCAAGAGTAATGTCACCGGCGCAACTATTTTTGGTGCAGCGAACCCTGCACATGATTGAGTTGTTGTGGTTGTAGATCTGAACCTTCAAGCCAAGTCCAGAGATGCGCAGGACGAGGAGGTTGCCGGGGATGATCCTGTGGCGGCGGCAGAAGTACTGTTAGCCCTTACCAAGGACCATGTGCCTCTGGAAGTTTTGGACCTGAACCCAGAACTCGCACCACTTGTTGGCCGACAGCCCGATGATGTGCGATGGCTTCGTCACCAGCCATTGCTCCAGCATGTCCGTGAACTTGCGAGGGATGACGAGCATGGCGAGATCCTCCATGTCCTTGATCTGCATGTAGAAACGCAGCGGCTCTCGTCCCCCCTCCTCGTGGCCGGTCCTCGGTGCTCGTCCCTGTGACCATGGCTGGCTCATGGCAGTGACCCTGCCAAGCAGGTTCACTGTCTTGAGCCATCGGTTCGTCGGGATCAGGTCCTCGAAGCCCTCGGCGCCAGCCATGACCTGCGCTCCTCCTCCGGCTACGTCCCACTCCGTCTTCATGATCTTTCAAGGTAAGATGACTTGTGTTAGTAACAGGGCATTGACAACTGCCTCTAAGGGCTGCCAGTTGCAAATGATCAGTGAGATGATCATTGGCAACTGGCACTGAATAGTGGTAGTTGAGTGGCACTTGCACTTGGGCGACTGCCGCTGATCAGTACCAGTTGCTAAACATGCAATGCTCTGTTTTAGATCATAACACTAGATCAGTGGCAATTGCCAAATCAGTGCTATGATCTAAACATAGCAATGCAAGTTTGGCAAGTTCCTAAACATGCAATGGTCCTACAATGCATATGAGCATGCAATGGATCAATGGCAGTTGCCAAATCTGTGCTATGGTCTTAACATAGCACTTCAAGTTGTGGTAGTTGCCAATCATTAGCAGGACACCCACATTTGGCAGCATGTTGGTTGGTACTAGTACCTAAACGAGCAAACACAATGGTCCGACAATGCATATGAGCATGCACATTTGTCCAACCTACACTAATCACCATGCACACACTGAAATCATGCACAAAACCCTAACTACGAACAACACAACAACTTGTGCAGCATGAACATCAAGCAATTGGCATGAACATTAAGCAACTTGTGCAACATGAACAACAAGCAACTTGTGTAGCATGAACATCAACCAATCTAGCATGAATATCATCCAATGTGACTACCTATCTTGCAAGCACAAATCTACAACTACACACCTAGTTTGCATCAAGGCAGTGCACTAATCTAGCAATCTAACAGCAATGAGGCAGTGCATATACAGTAACAGTCAAGAAGCAGACAATTGAATTCGAGTTGATTCGATTGGAATCGGATCGAATCAAATCTGAGCGAATCCAATCCATGCTTAACAATGCAAACCCTAATCCACATCTACCAGCAAAGGGGGAAATTGTACTTACCAGAGCGGGTGCTGATGGAGCGTATGCCGAACAAGGAGAAAACCCCAGCGGGAAGGAGGCGTTGGCCGAAGAGGATGAGCTGACAATGCCGAGGGCCATCGGCGCTGCTGATGGCTCTATATTTTACGCATTTTTAGAGCTCATATGTTGCATGTTCTCTTCATATATTATGTCCCATTGAACCAAATATATGTCCATTATGCATGATTACCGGTTTTTATACTTATCATTGTGAGCATTGCACATTTGTGTATTTATTTGGTTTTTGTTACTTCTCGTTCTTTTCTTATGTCTATAGGTGTATTGGAGCAACCTAGGACCAAGCACGATGAAAGGAGAAAGGATGGGTCCATGAAAGTGCAACTAATCCCTAGGTGGTTTTGGTAATTATTAACAACATATAGCTCATTGAACTAATATTCCTTCAAGATAATCATTTCAGAAAGTTCAATGATTGGCATGGCATGGACTAGAGATGTGGACCCCTCAAAATGCTAAGGACACATATTGGCACAAGCTCAAGACTCTACATTTTCATTTTAGTGATCCAAGATCACATTGAGTCCATAGGAAAAGTCAATACTATTAAAAGGGGATGAGGTGTTGCTTAATGGCTTGCTTGCTCAAAATGCATAGTGATATGCTCCAAAAGCCCTCAACCACTTTCTCATTTCCACATATGTCCCAAACCAAAAGTCAAACTCGGCCCCGCCGATTTGATCTATCCGGCACCACCGAGTTCATTTGACATAGCCATAGCCAGAAACCCTAATCAGTTCGGTCTCACCGATAGGGATCTCGGTCTCACCGAGATGGGATTGCAAACTCTCTGTTTCCCTTTGTAACGTTTCGGTCTAATCGAACTGAGCGATCGGTCCCACCGAGTTCGCAATGCAAACTCTCTGTTTCCTTTTCGTAACATTTCGGTCTCACCAAAATGAGCGATTGGTCCCACCGAGTTTGCCTGACCAACTCTCTGGTTGCCTATTACTGAAATCGGTCTCACCGAGTTCATGTGACCAGTCTCACTGAGATTAAGTTATGCCCTAACCCTAACAAAATTGGTCTCACCGAGTTGATCGTGTCGGTCCCACCAAAATGCCTCACGTTCACATTTTGAACTAAATCGGTCTAACCGATTTTGGTAAATGGTGTGTAACGGTTAGATTTTGTGTGAAGGCTATATATACCCCTCCACCCATTCTCCATTCGAGAAGAGAGCTATCAGAACGTGCCTACACTTCCACTACTCATTTTTCTGAGAGAGAACCACCTACTCATGTGTTGAGACCAAGACATTCCAATCCAACCACAAGAATCTTGATCTCTGGCCTTCCCCAAGTTGCTTTCCACTCAAATCATCTTTCCACCATAGCCAAATCTGTGTGAGAGAGTTGAGTGTTAGGGAGACTATCATTTGAAGCACAAGAGCAAGGAGTTCATCATCAACACACCATCTATTACCTTTTGGAGGGTGGTGTCTCCTAGATTGGTTAGGTGTCACTTGGGAGCCTCTATCAAGATTGTGGATTTGAACCAAGGAGTTTGTAAGGGAAAGGAGACCGCCTACTTCGTGAAGATCTACCCAAGTGAGGCAAGTCCTTCGTGGGCGATGGCCATGGTGGGATAGACAATGTTGCTTCTTCGTGGACCCTTCATGGGTGGATCCCTCCATGGACTCGTACAACCGTTACCCTTCGTGGGTTGGAGTCTCCATCAACATGGATGTACGATAGCACCACCTATCAGAACCA